ATATAGAATATTTGTTTAATTATTGACTAGTTTCTAATTGTTTAATTAACTTTTAGGTATGGTTGGATGATGTGTGTTTAGTTAAATTTAAAAGGTAGAGACAAGTACAAGAGATTAGGTGCTGTGGACCGGACTTGCACGTCTCTTTCAGTTTCCGAAAGGCCATTAAGGTTACTGTACTTCGTGCACTTGACGCTGAAGGAATTCGGTCGGAAGGGGGAAGGGAGAAACGTTTAGGATATTTTTGTGGAGGCAACTTAAGATGCCGATGTGATTTATTGGATTCCGATCGGAATGGAAACGCGCATATTTATTGATTATTAAGTAGTTGAATGTCCAGTTAAAAGGACACGGCCGTGTAATTGCTTTATGTAACCGCATTGTTTCGCGTCCGACTTAATACTGGACGTTAATTAAAAGCGTGCGTTTCAGAGCTGGAGAAGAAGGAAACAGAAATAAAACGACGAGAAGATATAAGACAACATGAAGAAAAAAAAATCAACAAAAGAGCGGAGTGAAAAATTCCACCGTTTCGACCTCACCATTTCTTTTGTTTTTTTGTTTTGTAGAGAAAGAGAGATAGATACGTTATTAAAATAACAAAAATAAACGACGAAAAGAAAAAAAAAGTAATAACAACAACAAATAGTTGCATGAGGAACTCGAAGAGACTCAGAATGGGCGAGTTCACGAAACCCATAAAGAGGTCCAAAAACTATGAGATTTGAACTGGACGCTTACGGGCAGCAACGAAATTAAAACCGGCAATTTAAATTCTCCGTTTCATCCGCTAATTGCCTGACGACAAGCGTACAATTAACAATGTCTATTAATTAAAGTATCTCTTTTTTGCCATCTTAATGAACTTATGTTAACCAAACTTAAGCTCTATATTCGGTAACATTGTTCATTGCGTAACATAATTATAAACGCGATAAAAAAAAAGAAAACAAAACGGTGAAGACGAAGAGGAAATAAAAAGGTAATTTTTGATTATATGTAGATTCGTTTTATGACCGCGTAATTATTGGAAACGAATTCGTGGGACAAAAATGTTAATTAGAATTGGTTTAGTACAGTAATTCGAGCTTTCCGAGAAGGATCCCATCCGGAATGAGTATCGAAGAGGTTTTATTGCGTCGTCCACCAGTTTCCCTTTTCCGGCTCACGCTTGTAATTACTGGCCTCCCAATTAAAGCCATATTGCATTGGGGCCAATCCAATTTCCACCCAAATAAAAAGCTTAAATAAAAAGAAAACGTCACCCCATTTCCATAACCCGGCAATTAGTCTCGGATCTGCGTTTTCCGCTAAGTGGAAAGTTTAATTAGAAGAAAGAAAAATCTGATCCTAATTGAGATATTTTTTCTTTCTGTAATTAAAAATCGAGCATTCCTTGTGCCGTGTTGCTCATGAGGTCTTCGGTTCTCCGTCATCTCGCGAAACAAAGAAATTGTTTATGATTTACGATGGATGGTCTTTTGTTCTGCACAATGAGAGAGATCCACTTTTTCCTCCGGTGCACGCGATGAGGCAGCGAGGAAGAAGAACAAGAGTGTAACCATAACAACAGTAACAACGGCACAACTTTCTACTGGAATTATTAAAATAATTAAATAATAATGTTAGAGTGGAGAGAAAGAGAACGAGAGAGAGAAAAGAAAAAGTAGAAACGCTCGCATCAATCACTTAATGTCAGTTGTACGGCGCATTGCGCGCGGAATTTTCTAATTTAATAGGAACTTAAATTCTCTAAGACAAAAAAAAAATGAACGAACTGTAACGTTTCAATTCATGAATCGTTTGAGGTGTAAGTCATTAATAATGCGTTAATAACTTCGTCGATCTTCCAAATAAGAAAATCACTAATTACTCGGGTTATTTAATAATTCATATTTCGTTTTCTTTTTAATCGACTTTCATCCGGTCGAGCAGAAACAACTAATTTAATCGAATCATTTTACCGGTTTTATTTCCGTTAGATATTATCGATAATTCCATGTGATATATTTAACATTTAGTCAATTAAATACATTTGAAAAAACGGAATAAAACAAATTTAATTAAAGACATGTAATTTTAATACAAATTTAATTAAGTAATTAAATTTCTAAAATTAAAAAATATTAAAATAAACTACAATACATTTTCGGACAAAGTGAAATATTCAGACTGGTTATTATTATTTTCAGGAATAAGTGAAACGAAATGAAATAAATGTGATTGTGTAAAATATTAAATTAGAGAAATTTGTTGCGTTAGTTACTCATTGGTATCAAATAAATATGCATTTGAGCTAGAAGTCGTTTATGTTTGACATTGATAATTTGCATTAATTACGTTTATTTTTTCCCACATCAATTAGTTGGTAGAGGACATTTCAATTTGCGAGCGAAACACATTGCTCGTCTGTGAGTTCAGAACAAGCAATCTATAGGAATTGTTGAGAAACGTCGATGAATCTCCAAGGAATCGCGAATTCATATCGAAAGTGACATGAAGGTAAATCGCGGAACCTTTTTCCCACATTAATTAGATAATAGGTTTGTAATCGGTATCAGTTTCCCCATTTTATTTTGTTCGTTCATGCGTTCCTTCTGCTCTGATCCTTAAAAGTCTATATGGGATATTCGAGAGATGAAAGACATTAACCTTGGTTTCGTTATGGAGCAGCGGCGCGAGAGAATGCAGAACGAGTGTCATACATTTATTATACAAGCCAGTAAGTAAGCGAAGTACGTATGTGTGTATAATAAATGTATGTAATGTGATAATATTATAATAACGAAACGTAAACGGTTTTAGTTGGTGTATGTGTGTGTTGTGTGGATGAAGAGTGAGTGATTCGCGTTGGGTCGCGAGCCTTCGTCCCATGTATACAAGAGTGCGAGTGTGTCTCTTTGGCGAAGTGAATGGATGACATCATGTGTGTGTGAGAGAGAGAGAGAGAGAAAGAAGGACGGAAAGAGAGAAAGAGAAAGATCGGATCGAAAGACCCATGAGCCAGGCTGTGTGAGCCGCTGCGGTCAGCGTGGGAAAAAGCGCGGACGCAAGAAGTTGTATCATTGGTATTCCGCGAGTCGCGCCTCTGCTTTATATCGAAAAAGAACGAAACGAAAAAAAAAAAGGAAAAGAAAGGAAAAACAACGACAGCTGCATGCGCGAGAAGGAGAGAAGACGTTACGGTCATATTGGTGGCTGCTGGAGGTGAAGAGGTATATAGCTCCTAAGCAACCGACCACCTAATTCCGTAGACTTATTGTCTCAATTTCTTCGTTGGATGTCGGCGGAGCCCGAGGCGGCGCTTCCAAGTAGGTCTCAAGTCCAAGAGCAAGAATTTATTATCCCCTTTTGTCTCGCGTCGAATTACGCGCTTTCCCATATAATGTTCTTATTACGGGAGTCCCATTGATCGCAGGGGGGATGGAGGAAATCTATGAATCCGCTGGACAAGTACTCGGAACAAAGCGCGGAACCGGAGCAGCAGCAGAAGAAGTCTGATGGCACTAGCAGCGCACAGAGGAGTTGCAGCAGCAGCAGCAGAGCGAGAGAGGACCGGTCTCTCCTCTAACTTATATATTCCCGTGCTTAAGTGCGTGTACACAAGTCTACTTAGGATCGATTTAAGAGCATCGTTAGGCCTTTTATCTCGACTCGGAAGTCGGAATAAATTAGATCGGATTAAAATCTCCTCTGCTCCAAATTGCTTTGCTTTTCTTCCTCCCATCCTCCTGTCCGTTCGTCCTTCCGTACGCCAGGAACGGCGACGTCATTTTTTTTCTACGTGCGAATCGACCGATCCGTTCCATTATATGTCTATCGATGCGTTCGCTCTATCTCCACCTTCGGATCGAATCCAAGAAATACACACACACACACTTACACCAACGGCAGGAACGAATAATAATTCTCTTCATTAATGCACGATGACTTTGGCATTCGTTTGACTTTATGACTTTTACATTCTTTCTCTCAACTGCTGCTATTATCACTCTCCGTATTCCCTACTTCTTCCTCCAAGCATACACACATTTGTTTTTCCTACTCCTTCACTATTTATTTCATATTCCTTCTGCACTCCTCATTTGCCCACGCATACCGGCACGTGGTTTTCTCGATAATAATGCGACACGTCCTTCCAAAGAGGTCCACACACATTACATGCCTTTCTTTCACTTTTCAATCATAGAAATTAAAAACACACAACACCCATAGAATTACCTGAACAAGAAAAAATTACAATCAACAATGTTCGAACAATAGCTTTTTCATTTTCCATTCTTCACTAACCTCAATCTAATAACAAAGAGTTGGATCAAACAACAATTCATTTTCTTACCTACCAAGAGTCATTTCATCAACAAATTAACTATTAAAACCTGAGTTTTTTAATTAAGAAAATTCTCGATAAAGTTAACAGAATTTTTTTTTGAAAGAAAATAAACAAAATTATTTATTATATAATTAATTGTAATACTGTAATATTTATTTAATAAAATACTAATAATGGATAATTGTATTATAGAGAAGTGGTAAATGTTTGGCATATTAATATATGATGATTATGTGTGATGGCTGATTAGAAGTGATACTACTCGAAAGGAACATAACATAATTACATAAGCAATATTGGCTGAAAAGAAAATAACAAGTCATTTGAAACGGTTGAAATGATTAGAAACAAATAAGGAACACACAATGAGCAAATATTTGATTCGTCATTTCGAAGTTTGTAACATATATGTGATTGGCCAACGGATGTACGAACGGCTTTTGTTTCAGTCGCAGTCGACTCTAAATACAAAAGCGACGAACAAAAAAAAAATAATTGGATGCAACGATGCCGCCTCCGATAAAGTCAGGAGAGGTAAAGTCTTCCTTTCATATCTGTTGGACGTCCCATGGGGTCCCCAAGAGTCGTGATTACGAAACGGGTTTCGGGATTGCGAGGACATTGGAAGTTTGGTATGAAAGAAATTAAAAAAAAAAAACAAACTTACCGTCCATCTGAAGGTGAAGGGCAAAACGAGCTTGCCGCGCTCTGGATCGGCCAGGGAGAAGCAGTCTCGGCCCAGGACCGGGCTCGAGGTGTTCCCGAAGGAGCAGGATCCTGTACTGGTTACGTTGCTTTGGTACTCCTTCAGGCACAGTCTGAAGAAGGTGTTACATGGAACACGACCCGATTGGGGTCCGCGCCAGCAGCACTCGCCGTTCGAGAGTTCGCCCAAAGGATTGGCCATCTCCAGCACCTGCAGCTCGAAGAACCCGGAGCCGTGCGCGCACTGGAACAGATTAAACAAGGCGGGAAATTTAAAAATCGATCGCAATCTCTGCACGCATCTTTTATTCAGAATCCAGTTGAGATAAAACGCTCAGATCACACAAAGCATCTCTTGAAATGTTTTTTGTTTTATTTTATTTCCATCATTATATTTTAAAGCTGTAATTACAATATACTAGCTTTCCGCTTTTTGGAATCCTGTGAAAACCATAGCCAAGCATGGTTTGCAAAGTCTGCCGTTTGCTATTGACATGAATTTCAGGAACAAGTCAATATTTATTACTCGAACACAGCGATTAATTGAGCATAAAATTTCAATTAGGAGCGAATGGATTGCTTTTCTATGCAAAACGACCTACTTTTTTACTGTGCCGATGTTAATTTATTGTAATCGCTAAATATTACCAACTAAATGTCAATTAAACCAGATACCAATAACAATAAATACTCATTATTGAATCCAGTTAATCCAAACTCATACGCATTGAATCTCTAAACTTTCGTTTTTAATCCAATTACACATTAAAAATCACCTTTTATATACGATAATTACAAAACATTTAAATGACATAATATTATATCAATTTACTGAAGAAGATATAGCAAAGTTGTATAAGTTTTTTTTTTGTTCACGTTCTGTACTTCTTTCATTTTATGTGTGTTCACTTTACGCTTTTTTACCTTTTAATTATTTCTCTCCTTTTTAGAAAACCGCTTCATAAATAATTAATTTACATTCCTTTCGGACTTTCTTAACACAGCACACGGCGTGCACACACACACATACTCTTACCGGCCACGAAATTATGGATTTTACATGCACACATTACATTGCTCAAATATTTACAGGAATTTCGAACGCACAACGTGTTTCTTGTTTGTCTTGCCTTTAAAACATACAGCAGAACTAACACATATTGGAAATTGAATTAATCCATAGAAATATAAATGAAAATCTATCAATATTTTATTGAAAATTGTATAAAGAAAAGAATACTTTAGAAATGTGTTTACTTTATGAATTTTCATTGGATGTATGTAATTAATTAGTATAGAAGAAAAGCTTCGTGTATATTAAATGATTGCTATCACGGTGGTAAGGAATCATAGAAATGTTTGAATGTAACATTCGAAGATATTTGTTGATAAATCGCTTTCACGGTGGCACGGAATGCAACATTTATTTAAGCAGGTAATCTTGGGATAGGAAGTCATTCGTTCTGTTGAAACCACCTTAAACCGTAATCAGGAGATCCCGTGTGCAGATAAAACCCGCAACAGCGGAGAGAGACACTCATTTGTGCGTCTGTAATACATCAAAAGCGCAGACAACGGTTTATTCATACAAAAAAAAATAAGAGAAATAATAGAAATTCACAGAGAAGAGGAAGACAATGGTTAATTACCGAAAAATGCTCGCAAGCTTCTGTTCCGGAATAAACAAAACGAATAATTGGGAGCACTTGAAAAGGAAGTTTGATGTTAAACGGGTTAAAACTGTAATTACCAATTGGAAGTAAGTAGAATGCGAGGAAGAGTAAGAAAGATTTGGTATAAGAAGAGATGTTCGGGAATTATGCGTGTGTGTGTGGCGTGAATAAATTTTGAAATAATCTTTAAAATATGACTACGCCCTTCTGTCCACATAACTCACAATATCCCAAGCATTAAGGCATTAAAAAATGACAGTCGCATGATAAACGGCATCATTTATAAAAATCCCGAAAACCTCCTCTCCTCTCTCCAAAGTCCGAGTTGTGAACACCACACAGCTCGACTCATACCCATTCAATTGCGCGCTTCTTCTGCGTCCCATGATCCGGGCAATTTGGTATTCCGATTGGCAAATCCGCTATTCTTCGGATCACCATGTGGAATAGGTGACAGCCCAAATGCAAATCGCGTGTGTTTCGAATGAAAAGAGCGGAAAAGCGTTTCGTGGAATCGCGCCGTTACCTTTACGCGGAATCGCGGATTCCTCAGCATCGATTTTCAATTCTAAAAGCGTCCAAGATTTTTAGTGAACCCAACTCAATTGTTACGTTTATTTGTTGTTGCTGCTATTGTCATTATTTAGTTTGTTTTTTTTTTAAAGTGAGATAACAGCGATAAAGAAGAAGCTCTCTGAGTAAATATCCGATGCGGTATCTGCTGTGTGTGTGTGTGCATGTATGTATGTGCTTATTGACATTTGATATTAATATTAAAAAGAGTTTTTCCCACGTTTTGTTGAGAAATTATCCGAGCCAGATAATCCGCTCTCGCTGCCATCATCATCTCCATAGTTCTTTAAACTCTCTGCGCCTGACTCACACTCGTGACATGTGGAATTAAGCGAGAACAGAGAAGAAGAAAAAAAACGAGAATAAGAAGAAGAGGAGGCTATGATCGAAATTGATTGACGTGAGGTGACACGGCATCGCAAACAGTTAGAAGTACGTACAAAAAAAAATATAAATAACGAACAGAGGAAGAGAGGCAGATGGAAATATTCGAAGGGTAAATATTTGAGAAAACATCCTCGATAATAGAATAAATGCGTAGATGAAATCATTCGAAGGTATGTGCATGACGAAATATCTGAAACTGTAAATACTAATTCTAATATTTTTTTGTGTTTTTAATCAAATTCATACTTTTAATAATTACTTTAACTACACACACACATTTATGATAATTAAAATAAATTTGTTTGAATCTAAATATGTTCATAAAATATAAATTACTGATGTAAAGAAAAAAATACATAGTTAATTAAATTGTTGGTCCAAAAGTTGATCTGCACTAACTCAGCAGATAATTGATAAGTGCATTTTCTAATTCATTGTTGGTCAGGTGGATGAGGTTGTTGGTTCTAGGAATGTTGAGATTTGCAGACAGCGTTTCGCATAATTTAGTAGTGTTAATAATTGATATAAACTGGTCGTTTGCGTACATTTTATTGGCCATTAAATATGGCAAAGTAATATTATTGGAGCCGGCGTGTCCAGTGGACAGGCAATAAATCGCCGCGTTTTTACGCGTGCACCGTTTTTACTGGCCATTAATAGATAGATGATGATGATGATGCCCGGAGATCCGAAAGAATTGATGCTTGATCATCATCACCAGAAGGATGGATCTTCGAAATGCTGGTATTGCTGGTTGCGTGCTCAAGAATGAAGGATGGAACGAGACGCAGAGAAAGAGATGATCTGTAAATGGTGAGCTCGCTCGCTCCGTGCAACTCTTGCCCCATTATAATATTCGGACTAATCATACGGCATGAATAGAGACATTTTTATTTTATTGTATTGTTATTAGCCGGTCGTCGTGAGAGAGTTGCATTCATGTAATATAATCAAACATCCTTTCCGCTTCTTTAAAAGCCCCGTTGTTCTTCCACGCCGTATACGACGGACGAAAGAACAACAAAGCAATCGGCAGAACGCATTCACCTAAACCAATATTTGACAGGAAGCCGAATTTACACCCCCGTTCTAACGAGAGAAGAAGGAGGTCCCACATAATGGATGGAAGCGGTCCACCTTCTAAGGAAACGTAGCTGCTTCCTTCTTCTCCCAGCTTCTCAATTTACCATCTCCAAAAAGAAACACACATACAAAAATGTTTACGTTTAATGTCGCTATTTAATGAGCAGTTAACTTATCACTTGATTGGTTTTCCTTCTCAGGTGCATTCCGTACTTGAATTTCGAAAAAATAATAAAAATAATCATAAAAGAAACGCACACGACTATTTGTTTCTCTTTGGTGTATGTTGGGAAATGATTGGGTGTGTAAGGCAATTAAAATAATACGATTTGCATGCAATTATCATACTCTCACACACATGTAAGTATAAATAATAACGGACGATCACTCTGTTCTCAACTCACTACTATGTACACTTGGATAACCTGTTTTTCATGGTGCTTTATTTGGGTAACCCAACTAATTTGATTGATCCGAAAACCGCGCAGAAAAAATATTATTTCCTTCAGCTTTTATTACTCATTTTTTCTTCTTTAGCTCCGGTCGTTGTTTTATTTATCGAGCGGAGATTGTGTAAAGTGAGCGTGGGAACGGACGCTATCTGGATTTAAATATTGATAGCGCCGCCACTAAATTAGAAAATGGTCCTCGGGTTCGCTCGTTGTGTGCTCTCCTCGGCCCAACCTGTTTTCCTCTTGGTTTACTTCGTATAGGAGATCAGCCTCAGTCTCGGCCTCTTCCGCGCATCACGTCAATTGGATTGGTTTTCTGGAGTCGTGCCTCCATACTATGCGAGGAAGTCGCAAAGCCCGTAAAGTGGACATATTCCGTTACGGGGAAGAGGAAAACCGCACGATAAAAATAACAACGTAGGGCCAGTTTTCATACGCCAAACATGCACCTGAACTGTATACAATTACACTGATACTCTTCAGATTACTCATACTTAATTACATTTCACCTCAGATGTAAATTGGAAAATAGAAATTACTTTCAACTTTATAATGTTATATACACCAAATTGATAATATCCGTCCAATCATTTCTACTGTATTAGATTATACACTGTATTATAACTGTATTGATACTAGAAAATACTTTCAATTTAATAATTTACACAGAATAACCATATTCATATTTTTATAAAGATACTCAATTATATGGAAAAAATCAAATAATTATAAAATCTGTAATTTGATGTTTAAAGTAAAAGCAGTTGTACTCATGGATTTGAGTCATTATAATAAGACACTTCCGACCGTGCTGCATATTGTGACATGTGCTACTTATTAATGACAGAGTTCAATTGAAAAGCGCTGTACGGATTGGTTATGACCGGAATAGGAAACTGATTAAATCCACGATCATTTTTTTTATTGCATTTTGCTGCGTTTATTCGCCCAGATCGGAGAAAGACAATTTTCTCATGGCCCAAGTATAGATAGGCTATAACGACATGTGCGAGTAGCAAGCATATTCTAATGATTTGCATAAATTATCTCGCTCAATAAAATTACAATTACCCATTACAAACTTCATTTTTTTTGTGTTCTTTATCTCGCATTATTAATTCGCAAGTTATTGTTGCTCTATGTCTTTCATTTCCATTATTATTATTTTTTTCTTCAGAACAATTCTTCCGCTCGATGCATTCCGATCTAATTACGCTCCCGTAATCCACTTTGCATACACTCGAACGCACAATCCGAAACTCGTACATAACAAGCAACAATTTATAATTTATAAATCGACGCTCGGAATGCAGCGAAATCGATAACACAGTTTTCTAATAGATCGAATATTTCACTTGCCACATGCATTACTTAACTCTATTTTTATTTTTTTTTTGATACTGGATGATAGGCAAAGTTTGCAATGTGGATGTCATTCGGTGAGTGCTACCACTTTCAATTAAATGTTCGTTTCTTTGCCTGCAGGTATTCCGTAATAGACGAAAAGAACTCACTTTGCGGCACCGAAACAATAAATAAACACGAAAACTGCTTTAAACCAAATCATTTAAGTCTTTAAATCCAACCGGCAATTACGTGAAATGGGCCTCAATTTCGGTGGAAACCAGACTACTTTTTTTCTACAATTTCGATTAACTTCGTCTCCTCTTGTTCCCTTTCTGCTCCGCTCTTTTGTATTTACTTGTTCCACATAATATTATATTTGAGTTTTACTCCCATCGATAAGTTAAGACCGTTACGCAATTATATACAATCTAGGCTATTTACGTTTAACAACAAACTACTTAATAATACTTTATTTTTTATATTCGCTAACGTCTGATTGGTATATATACATAAAAACATTATTTATTTATATATATTTAAAATTATAAAAATAATTTTGTGTGAAATTTTAGTTTTCTCCTAATGATAATCTCTTACATCTACCTCTTAATCGCACCGTTTCTTCGCCTCTTTTTTGTTGTTGTTGTTGAGGTCAGGTCTTGCCGCATAAGAGTAAGAAAAAAGAAGAAGTAAAAAGAAGAGAAGTCAGGCGAGGAAAATAAAACGTTGGATGAGACGGGAATTAAACGGAACGAAACGTATAAAATTTATTAAAACAAAAAAAAAATAATAATAAAAGGCACGTCGCGAGAAGAAAACGATGAGAACAAGAGCAGAGGATTGGGCCGAACACACACATACACACAGAAAACGAAAATAAAAAGAAGTATAATAATAGCGCATTGCACGAGAAGTTTCATAGAAAGACTGGACGATTAAAAAAAAGCAGTAGTTGCTGCCGCCGTAATAATAACGCTAGAAGAAAGTCCTGACCAATTTAAAAGTTCTCTCGCAATTCAGAATAACGCTGTGGAACATCTAATTTCGTTTCATGGAATTCCACTGATTCAATATTTGACTATAATAATATCAAGAAAGATTATTCAACGATCTTACTTAGAATACCACTTTTTGTTGTTGCATTACTTACACACAATATTCTACAACGCGGGTATTTCATCTAATTAACATACTTTAATGGTGAACCACTTGAATTTCAAGAATATAAGTAGGCACTTGACTACAGGAAAGAAACATGTTCTGTTCACCCGTCTTGTGTTTCTCCTTCAAGATTATGAAAAAGGTTGTCTAAGAGAATATTCCAAACAGGAATCATTGTATCGAAAGACGCAGCATTGAAACAAAACGAATACAAAATTGTGAATTTCTTCAGGCATTGTTCTAAATGGGATTTGAAAGAATACAAAAGGGGAGCAAAGGGAATAAATATAAAGGTGCACTGTAATAGAATATTTTTGACTTTTTCTAAAGACCCCTCTCTCTTTACCTGCAAAGATTTATGTGCTCCTTTTTTTTTCTCTCTCATTGTCGATCTTTCTGTCGCTTTCAGGTTATTCGTAACACAACACATCTCAGACACGTGAATTTACTCTCGGTGTTAAATACTCGAGATGCCCATTTCGCTTAATATAGACTTCGAACTACACGCGTTCTATTCTAAAGATTCAGTAAATTTGTCAAGCGGCGAGATTTACAGCCGGAGTTATTCAGAAAATTTGAATAAAAATAGCGCATTGCGTAAATAATGATTATATTTACAAAACAAACTTATTGAAAATCTATTGAAGATTTATTAAATAAAAAAATCGAATAATTTACTAAATATTATAACATTAAATTTCATAATTTTATTTTAAATTTATAACGAAATAATTAATGATATTAATAATTGTTTTCTTTGTTAAATTTACAAATAGATTGAATTGAAGAATGAAAATCTTTTTCTTAATACTTTAATTTCATACCATTACTATTAATTTGAAGAGGAATAAACAAATATGCTTGTTATATAACTGATGTATGTATAAAAACATATTGACATAATCTATTTCTAAATATACATTAAATTGAATGATTGTTTGCTTTCTTTTGATTATGGTAAGTGAACGATGAGTTCTTTGACAGCTTAGTTAAATTTAGTTTTAAGTTATATAAGAATTTTGTATCTATAAAAACTTGTACAGTTAGTTTGTATTTGTACATTTTTATTTTTTATATTAATTATGTTCTTCTGTTGCAGATCTTATGGATCATCTTAGAAAGAAATGTTCATTATATGCTTCTCATTGCAATAACATTTATTACAATATTAAATCGTGTGATATTTTTCATGTTGTATATCAATTTCGAGATGTTTCTTCGATTTGAATATTTTATACGTTTGTTGGCTTTTGGGGCCGTGATGGATGCGCCAATTAGAAAGTAAATAGATGTACGTAAAAGTGATGGTAGTTTACCTGCAGTAAGTTAAGAAGCAAGAGGAAGAACTGTAATAAATATCCATGGGTCATGGTCCTACACAACAATCGCCACATTACACTGCACATCATCACAATACAGCCTCATCGAGGGTTTTATAAACCGTGGGGGATGAAAATATTTTCCTGCCGGAGGAGAGAGCACTTCGGGGAGGAGGAGTGTAGGCAACAGCCAGATGACCAAAGTCGAAATGTTTTCGGGGAGGTCTTCTTTGACGTCGTCTTAGTCGTATTTCAAATGGGGTGATTTGCAAGCGTGCGTCGACCCATGATGTCGAGATGAGGACTGAACTGTTTGTTTTTGGTATCGATGGTTGCTGCTACTGTTGTGTTATTGTTGTCGTCGTCTGTCGCCGGACGTCGGGACGCGGTCGTCGTTACGAGAGCGGCGGGATAAGCGAGCGACGTGCACACGGAATTGGAGCCGTGTCGGTACTGAAGAGCGGTCGGAGCCGCGGGCGCACGCGGCGGCCACCCCGCCTCCTTCCCCAGCGGGCCCCGCCGTGTATGCATACGCTCGGATGGGGGGGACCCCCTTCGCTCCTCTTCATCTTCATCCTCATCCTCCACCTACCATCTCTTCATCCGCAGCATCATCCACAAACACGCCGCTCCGTCCTCCTCTTCCTTCGCATAACATTGTACGTTCGCAGCATCCACTAGAACCACCACCATCAACACTGCTGCACCGAAGAGCATCCTCGAACGACAGGTACCATCCGCCGGCCGCACGGCAGCCATCCAACGAGGAGAGAAATTGCTTTTGGACCATCAGGAAGCGCATATTTTAATTCGCCCATCATCGGTGCGAAAGAGACGGAGCGAACCCTTAGGGTTTTTTTTTAAAGAGGACGTTCACCCGAAATCAATATACCTTCTTCTCTCAATTTCCACCAATAATTTTAGTTGTTTTTTCAATGGTTTTACAACACGCAACCGGCGATTTCGATGCTACGTCAAGCGACGAACCCGCTCATACTAACAATTTCAAAACTTCAAAAAAATATTCCAATTTTCTTTTAATTATCATATTTTTCACAAATATCATATGTAACAACATTTTTTTTATAAATAACAATTGTTATTTCCCATTTTACAGAAAAAAAATGTTCTCGTTCAGTACTAAATTGAAATTCCTTGCATATTTAAGTATTTTACTGGAACTCTTTGTTGATTTTGCCTATATCTAAAATATGTTAATATCTTCAATTCAATACATGTAAAATGAAATGCAATTACAAATGTTAGTAATAGAATTACAGTCTAGAATTACATAATATATATAATAATATTCATTGCCATCATAAATTACAAAATAAAATCAAACTGATGCTGTATTAGACTTTCTGCTCTACAAAGCATTATTATACATATTTAATAATGTAATAAATGTGAATTAAAAATTAATAAAACAGTAAAAATCACCAAAAAGGGATGCTATTTGCAGCAATTCAATTTAGTTTTATTTTTCTTATTATGTTATTTTGTTAAGTTTGTATCATATTGGTCGCAATAAATATTATTATTAAAAAAAAATCTTTATTTGTTTGTATAATTTTAATCCATTTTGAATACCAACAATAAATATTGGATTATCGATTATGTATTGGATTAGCATACTTTATTCAAAAATACACTACATGTAAATATAAGTTACCATATAAGTAATAAATAATTCAATTAATTACAAGAATGGTTTCGGCAACAAGCGCATACTTTCGTACGAATGCAAATTTGCGCATTCCATATTACCATATCGAGTTTGCATAATTATCCTAATTGTACGTTCTTATTTATGCGGGTCGATTGCGGTTTTTGTTCTCTCGCCGATCCAACAAAAATGTTCAGAGACGATGAACTTTTCGGCTCACTCCAATAAGATCTACAAATGTCTTCACAATCCTCCACAAAAAAAAAACATCAAAATTTCGTAGCATTTACCTTGAACATTTATGTAATAAATTTTAATTAAATTTTTATTTTAAATGCCATAATAGCATTTATTTTGTACTGTTTTTATGTTAGTAAATTTCAGTTTGGGAAATATTGATACTTCTTCCCATGTTCAATTTAATGTAACATTGAACCTATTATACGTTCTCCGAAGATATTTTCTTTAATGGGATAACCGCAAACTGAAGACCGAAACCACTTATTCGCTGAACCTAAACCATTTTTATATTATATAGCTTAATTCTAGTTCAGAACGGTATCCGCTTTTCGATGTTTACAAAAAAAAAATAGTCTCGATTTATTTAATTATAGTGCTGCAATGTTATGTAATTAATATCAAGGTATTTGAGAATACTAAATTATAATGCAATATATAAAGTATGTAATTGTTAATTTTTCTGTCACAATAGAATTTAAAGCTTGTCGAAATACATGAAATTAAAGCAACAAAAATAATCGTGCTTTTAACTATGCCAACAGGGCGCAACGATCAATTATGATCTTTGAACAAAGACAATACACCCTTAGATATATAAAAGACAGCTGCAATAAGTCGTTGTTGTAGAATGCAAGTGTTCTGTCTAATTAGACTTTATCTTCATTATCCTTATAAATTACAGTCGTTATATTTGTAACTGAAAGTCGTATCAGTGTACCAATTGAAATTATTTTGTTGTTTGATATACATTTATAAAAGAAATCATTGAAGATTTTTGTTTTAAATCATCTTATTTCATTATATACTACAATTTCGTTGTAATATGTAAATTTCTTACTTTTATTATGCTAATGTGCTTACGGATATTTGCATAATAAGGTGTAAATAGTATTGAAGTGGCTGAGATGAGAGAAGACGATCTGTGAGAAAAAAGTTTTTTGGGTGGATTTGTATGCTCAGGACGGATGAAAAATATGAGAAGGCAGAAAAGGAATACGAGTAGGAAGTGCGAAAAGACGTACCTTGAAAGAAGAAAATTGAAGAGCAAAGTTGAGACGAGGACAAAACGTAACGGTGAGAGAGAAGGTTTATGCATCATGCATATTACTCTACTCTACAAAAGGCGAATTATCTCTCATATTTAAAGACGTCGCTATCATCATCATCATCATTATCGTCATCCTCGTGGAGCCAGGGTGCTTGCTCTTCATTCGTAATGCCATTTGCATGCAAAACCGCTGCAGCAAAATCACATTGCTTTTCTGTACAACTTAAATTATCATATTCCACTCAAAATCTGAATTTAAATAGCATCCATTGATTATTTAATGGCTTATTTGGATAGTTGCCATTCTAGATATAAATATTCGTACAATACTGGAAAGATATTAATTCTACTTATAAAGTAAAAATAATTTATTAAACAGATTAAAATACTTTGCTTAATGAATTACTTCGTTAAACGAAGTATAAAATTGAATACTTTGTACAAAGGTTTCATTATCAGAGGTAAACTAACCAAAATGTCAATAACAGTAATAACTCGCATGCGTAGAGTTAGATCAGTGCGGATTCATTAAAGCGAGGTTTCGCGAAAAACTAGAATGAAATAATTACTAAATAATTAATGAATGTTTTTTCACATTTTATTGATTTGTGTTTCGTGAAAACTTCAGGATTCTGTCGCAGGAAAAGGTTGGGAAACCTTACATTAAAGTGTGGTTTAAAAAAATTAGAACAAACTATTTACTTCAGCAAAATATAAATAAATTCTTAAAAAATTGTACACAAAATTATTATTTATACATATATGATCAAATCTCTTTTAAACGGCTTTAAAGTCCTCGATTAGTACGGCTTCAAACGGTGCGTATAATGTGGAAAGCGATTACCCGCACTATGAGAGGTATTGATGTATTTCAATATTCATCAAGAAATTGTGCTAATATAATAGTATTGTTTCAGCAGATCACGTTTAATAAAGTTGATATTTCGCGTATTGCTAATAATTCGAAGTAGGAGAAGCAGTGAGAACGAGACTGAGTACATAATGAGTTTGAGGAGAGCGTTTTCGTCGTGAGCACAAGTAATTATCGAGTTCGTGTCATCGATTTGTAATTGGAGAAAATGAATTTATACACACCGTTCCTCTTCCCTGGTTCGCCCGTTTGTTGCGGTTGTTGTGCAAACGGATCTCAGCAGTTCCTCACAGACGAGAGAGGAGCATCATGATGATGATGATGAAGCCTCTTCTCATTTTTATTTTATTTTTTTATTTGCGCAAATCACGACCCGAAAAACCTAATACATCACTCAAACTTAATAACCGCGTGCGCGCGCGTACACTCATTTTTATCTCGGGAGGTATCAAAAACTTGGAGAGAAATCCAATTAATGAAAGCACCTTTCGGATTACTGTCTAGTGGCTAATTATAGGTCGGACTAATTAGCAGGTGGAGAGAGGAGAGAACACAAACAGTAGGGACGGCTGCCCTTCTTCTTCTGTTCCTCATCATCTCCCCACCAAAAAAATACAGACTAATATGCAGGTATAGATGCAGAGAAAAAACCGCCCTTAAATCGAGCAATCATCTTTGGATACGTTTTTAAATTATTATTATCGGAGGGAAAAATTAAATTGTAAATCATCGACACCTTTTGCTTTCCTATATTCGGTAGAGCGATGTTTTTTTGTTGTTGTTGTTGTTGCTGGAATCGATTCGAGCGAGAGAATGGATGTTGCGAAATGTTCTCCCCCATTGTTCTGAGTGGAACTATGAAATCTGAGATTTAAATGTTTCCTTTAAAGGAAACAGAACTCTGTGTACGAAATGCTGCATACTTCGTGTGACATACATTATTGAGGAGTATCAGTTTTCTCAAATAGGAACGTCGCAGAGAATTCTAATATTCAGAACATTCATTAATGGTACAACAAAATTAATATTTTAAATGATGCTATAATTTCATATTAATAGCTAAAGTATTATACCATTACCTTATTATATAAACTATTAAACTATAAATTGCTCTTACATCAAAAAGTCCCAATTTTAAAGTAATTATATCAAACATGAAGCAACATCATTTTTCCAAAACCTGAAGGGGGAAAGTTTTCAATTAATTTTTGTTTGTTCCAATTTAAGAATTTCAATAATTCTATCAGTTTTCTCAAATAGGAACGTCGCAGAGAATTCTAATATTCAGAACATTCATTAATGGTACAACAAAGTTAATATTTTAAATGATGCTATAATTTCATATTAATAGCTAAAGTATTATATCCTTACCTTATTATATAATCTAACCTAACTTTAGCTAATCTAACGAAATAAAAAGTACTATTATTTAATTAAATTTAACCCAACCTTAACTAACGTTAATGATTTTATTAATTTAATCTGATCTAAGTTAATCTAATTTAATATAAACTATCAATTGTTAACCTAACCTGACTTAACCTTAGCTAATATAACCTAACCTTAGCAAATATACTCTAATTTAAACTAAAATTGGTTAATTTATACGCATG